CTCGCTGCGTGGTATTTATTCAGTATATCATAGAGAAGAAAATCTCATTAAATTAGTCCTGGTTTCTGCAGGGTGGGCCTGGGCAGGGACGCCTGGTGCCAGTGGGTGGAAGGTGGCTGGGGGCAGGGGTCCAGCATTTCATCATTTCACAGTGATGGGAGATGGGGCAGAGATGCCGTCCCATGCCAGGGCCGGATGCGCCCCATGGGGTGGGTTGGGCAGAGTCGCGCTTGCCCGGGAGGGGTGGCTGGATGTGCGGGGACGCCCGGCCGCGGCCCCTCAGACCTCCAGCTTCTTCTTCATCTCCATGCGGTAGATGATCTGGTAGCCATCGTCCCAGGCGTAGATCTGCCTCTCCCGGGGGCTGTACTTCATGCCGGAGTGGGAGCCGGGGCGCTTGGGGAAGTAGACGAGGGAGGCGTCCTCGGGGGCCAGGGTGCCGCTGACGTCGAAGACGCACTGCACGCGGGAGCGGCTGGGCAGGCGGGTGTTGTAGACCACGTGCAGGGCCCCACACACCACGAAGGCGCCCTCGGCGTTCTCCCGAGGGCACGGCGTGTCCCACATCTGCTCGATGTCCAGCGAAGTGGGGTCCAGCTTGGCCAGGCATATGTTCTTCTCATCCTCCTTGGTGGCGTAGATGGCCCAGAGCCCCTCCTCGTCTGCCGCCACCTCGATGTAAGTGAAGGGGGAGAGCCCAAAGACCGGGATCTGCTCCTCGGCGGGGAACACCGAGCTGTCCACCACCGTCTTGTTGGCCAGGTTGAACTTGATCACCTGGAAGGGGCCGGAGCCCTGCTGGCGGATGTAGTAGAGGTGCCCATCGTAGACGAGGTGCCCGGTGCCCACCCAGGGGTAGGGCAACTTAATGCGGGCAGCCTTGCGGGTGGCAGAGAAGAGGGTGAACTCCCGCATGCGGGGGAAGACATACACTGTGTCGTTGGCAGTGCCATCGAAGACATAGATCTTCTCAGAATTCCCTGCGGCATCCTTGGTCCAGAGTCCCGAGGTGCTGCCAAAACGCTTCAGGATCTTCATGGCCCTGACACTCGCGATGGTGTCGCTGCAGTCTGCAAGAGTGGGGCAGCCATGAGAGCCTGGAAGCCACCTGGTCCCGCAGTGGGGACTGCTCCCACTCTGCACCAGTCATGCAGGTCCCACTGTGTCCCACCCCAGCCCTCAGGCAGCTGCCTTGCAAACTCGCTGCAGAGGTTGCAGTGCTGTCCCTGGTGGCATCCAGAAGCCCCCTTGTGCACCTGTGCCACAGGCAGGGGAGGCCACCCTCACCCCAGCCCTGCCTCGGGCACTTTGGAGAAGCCCAAAGCTTTGGCCTGGGACTTCAATGCAGCTCCCAGGCAGCTGCAGGATGTGGGGTTTTGTGCCAGAGACACCTGAGAGGTGTCCTGGTGGGACATAATGCCACAGCACGCAGCCAGGGAAGAGTTGGACCTGGGAGGGCTGGGAAGGCCCAGGGTAACCCTGCACCCAAGACCATCCATCCAGGAGGCCACGGCAGCCTCTCACCTGTCAGCTTGGTGTATTTCTCATTCTTCTTCTGCTTGGCCGTGGCCACCTGCTTCCGTCTCGTCCACCTCCACGCAGGGCGGTGCGGGGTTCTGCGTCTCCAGGTAGTCCACCTCACGTTCCAGGCGGTCCACACGCACCGCTGCGCTCTCCGCCTCCGACCGCATCGCC